TATATATTATATATATACTCTTTTCCTGAAAACGTGAAGCAGCAAATAACTAGAATGTTATTGTAAGTCATAGAATTGTTTTCCCATCACATAGTTCCAAATTCTTGATTTCTTTCCAGCTTTCCTTTCTGGATCCCGGTGTCTCTGATGCTTCCACGTCTCAGCTTTGCTTGTTTTTGTCACAAATACAGAGAAGTGACATTAACTAGGTTGGAAGAATACCCTTACAAATCATGTGGGTTAGCCTCTCTTCCAGGACCGCACAAAACTTATTTAGGACAGATATTCCTCTTGTTTCAGTTAGCAGTTTCTGTAAAGTTGTTTTGACCTTTACTGACAATGAAAATACCTAGCAGCATGCTACGTACCTTCTACAAGGTACCTTCTGCAAACTACCTTCCAAAACAGTTTAACTCCATCCCCAGTAGCATGGCAGCACGGCAGAAAGCAATGGACTGAATTGAAAGGGCTTGCATTTCACCTCCAGAAGACCCATATTTGTTCATAGGATACCAAAACTGACATTTGAAAGATTTTTTATGTCTAATGACAATGTAAAATAATTTTTTTTTTTTTTCCTGGAGCTACAGGGAGTCAAGATAATTTCTACAATAAATGGGATTGCTGGCACCATTCCAAGAGAGCAAAAAGTTGGAAAGGAAGGAGATTCAAGTATGTGTCCTGTCTCTAACACAGCAAGCCTTATTGCATTATATTTCACTCAATGCAATTTAATAATAATAATACTAAAAAATAAAAATTCCACTGTCCTTTGACCTGATGTTATAGAACTAAGTAGTGCAACACACTATTTAGTCTTTTGAAACAGCATTCACAAAAGAAGAATTTAAATGTATTTATCTTCAATGAGTAATCTACGTATTTATGTGCATTTCATTTTTGAAAAATCCAGCAAAATTTGAGTCACTTAGGCTATGGCTATACTCAGAAATAAGCGAAGTCCATTATCTGACCCTTCAGCCAAGTGAGCTGTACAGTTAAACTTTCTTATCCTATAGAGAGGGTGGCTGCATCCAACAGGGTTAGACCCTGAGCCGAGCCTGGCCGCTGTCGAGCGGAGAGCCAGGTGGTCCAGGCTTAACGCGGGCTGGGGACCATGCTGGCTCTGCTGTTTGACAGAGGTGGTGATCAGATGGCAACGGCTGGGCATATGCCCTGCTTCTGCCGTCTGCTTAGAACAGCAGTGGTCAGACCCTGCACTTTTTTATTCCCACTTGGAGTAAAATACACTCCTTTCCAAGAGCAACTTAAAAGAAATTATTTCAGAATTTTAATGCTTCTGTTAAATCAGTTACATTTACCTATTCGTATATAGTCAAATAAAATTATTTATTCAGATACAAATATGTGGTTTTATTGTTTATGAAATTTTAATCTTCGATTTGCTGAACCTTTGAGCAACACAAACCAAAAAACAAAGGGCTTACTTCTGTCAAAGTAGAAACATAATTTAAATGGTAAAAAACCTCCTTTCAAAGTCTCCTGATAAAACTCAGAGGAGAGGTATGCATACATGTCAAAGGTCTGTTGACGGTTAAGTGAAGGCTTTTTTAATTTTCATTTTATCCTCTTCAGGATAGTGATAGAAAACTAGGCTTATTCTTACGAAATGCACCTACATACATTTTGCCAATGCATGTTTTTATACTGCCAAAACTATCAATATTCAGGTTTTCTTACACGTTTACTGGCGCTCTGTCAGACCCCCGTTCTGAGCTCTCCTGTCCACCCAAGCAGAGGACGAAGAGAGTATAAGCCACATTTTATTCCTGTGCGTTAGCGCTCTCGGTCCTGGTAAACAAGCTAAAAAGCCAACTAACGCAGCCGACGCCTTGAATGATGTAATTTCTCATCGTACGTGCCAGGAATGCTCTTCAGCCCTGCCATGCAGGTAGGAATGCTGCTCAAAGCCATGGCTTCTGGCTCAGCAGCGTGTTCAGCGGCACGAAGGGCACTCGGCATGCGGTGGGGATTACCGAGCCGCGCCGGAGGAGGAAGGAAGGCTCCGTAACCACCATCCCTTGCTACGCCCTTCGTAGAAATCCGTCAGATACAAAAGGTAACCACAGTGACAGCGAGACAGGGACGTACTGGGAGGAGATGGCTTGTGGTGAAATCCCAGGTTTAGGATCAGCACCTTGTATTTCTGCGAGGCAAGAAATTTTCTATCTGCTTTAGGACTGCTGAAATTTGCAGATTTTTGCAAGAGAGAGAGAAACCAGAACAGTTGTCACATTTCTGCCTGAAGTTCACTGGAAAAAAAGGTGTATGTTGGGCTGGGAGATTCAAGGTGCTGCCCCTCAGTTTAAGGGAAAAACAAGGATTTAATACATATCTGTCAGCAGCAGCCTGGCTGCTCGGTTATTCCTAGTGCAGTGTTTGTGACAAATTCTCAACAGAGCCCCTAATAATATTTCACAATATTACAAAAAGCTTTCTCCTTTTCTGACTGCAGTTTGTAGTAACGATGCAATTTTTTGGGACCATGAACAGGCAGGGCTGTCAACCCTAGTGTCGCATCAGCATTGCACCCCTGTTTTAATCAATTATATTTTGAGAGGTGCATTTGCAATACCTGGAAAACTGACAGAAGACACACCATTTGGTATTGACCTACTAATAATCACCTGCCCTCAGGATTAAACAGATCAGAAAGACTTCGCTTTCATTAAACATACTCTTTGTTTGAATACATATGACTAGATGCTGTCTGGATCTGTTCGTAGGCTGTGGGGATCTAGGGCAGGTACTGAGACCTGCCAATCACTGGAAAATTTGTGCTGTTATCTACATTCACCTGGGTGAGGTCCAACCATAGCCAAAAACAAAGAATGGAACAGAATATATTTTATTTGGTCTAAGTACTTGGAAAGTTAGAACTGTCTGAGAAAAGTTTTTAGTTTGTGGTACTAGCATGGATATGACATACCCTCCAAAACGGTATGGCTGCATCCCAACTGCCTTCTGGGAATGATCCCTGGCCTACACCAGTGCCCAGAACATTGCCAGGCAGGGGCTGGGACAGTGCTGATAGACCCAGGGCGACAAGTCCGCTGGGGACCGCTCCAAAACCTTCTCAGTGTACATGGTCAGGTTTCTGTACTCAGGTCTGTGGACTCTGGAACTCTGGAAATGTTTAATTTACCAGCAGGAAGACAGCTGGTCGCTGTGTGGACGTCTGAGAAAGTCAACTATCTCCTCTTTCCCTTTTTACCTTCAGAAGGGTCACTCTTAACAAGCAACAGATGTTAGCTCACTCTCCCTTAGCACATCTTACCCCACGAGGATAATTGTCCTTTTACAGGACCCACAGCAGCTTCCAAAGCCAAATACGAGAACCAGGACTGAAGAATTCACAACATATGTCTTGATCATGGCTGAGAAATAATGGGCTCCTCATCCTGAAAGACCTCTAGTCCCACTGACAGGTACTCACAAGCTGAAAATTTACCACCTTTTTTGTTTCCTCGGGGACTTTGAAAAATTTGGACTGAACCGGTAGATGTAGCCAGAGTATCTCAAACCCAAAATTCAGTCCAGATACAATGACTGAAGATACAAAAAATTCAAATGTTGCTTCAAGCCACTGTTATTAAGAGCTCGTCATTTCATCTTTGGAAATCAGCCAGGTACAGGTCAGTCAGCAATACTTATGTTATAGGCTATGGTTTTATCGTTGCAACTAATATTCCAGCAAACCCTTCAGATTTACATTCAGAATTTGGCTCAGTTGCCTAAACATAGGTCTCTGGCACCCTGTGAGATGCCGTAAGGTGTCCTGCCTGGGTTTAGTTGCCAACTGAGAGTGGAGACCTGCCAGTCTTGTTTCGTGGTATCTCAGAAATCTTACAGCAGCTCATGGTACAGACGCCTTAGTTTGTGAATCTAAACAGAGCCTCCAGAGATGTGTGAGCAAGCTATATGGAACACCAGAGTTGTAAACTGTTCGCTTCAGTAATAGTGAAAATTGATGGGTTTTTTTCTTCCAGATTGCAAGCTAAATAATTCAATTTAATTAAACCAAAAGGATTTTTGCCTAAAGGTTTTTGTTTTGTTTTATTTTACTTCATGAAAAGGTGAGTCACTATGGTATACTATACATGGTATTACCTTTAATCAAAGGTTGTTTATTGTTCTGTGGGTAATTTCTTAATTTTATATATTTCTCCCAGGCAAAAAGATAAATTTTCTAAGCTGTGAGAAATACCCAGTCACATTAACAAAAGCTGCAGATTTGAAATCAGGCTACCACTTTGAAACTGTCTTCAGAAGTATACTTAGAGTTTAGTTATAAAATAATATATTGAAAGGATAAAAAGGAGAGAAAAATAAAGATCTGTTGGACAACATATATAACTACATATTTTCCTACAGTTTTAAAATTTTAGTTATTTAATAGTCCATATTGTAGGTAGTATGAATGAAAAAAACCCCCAGTCAAACAAACGTCTCCACAATGTGTTTAAATGAGTATGATACAGTTTAGCTGATACATAAAGCTTTATGCTGATAAAAAGGTAAGATGCCAAATACATGATAGAATTATATATTTGTTATTATACCTAGTATAGAATAGAGTGTATTTTCTATTTCAGAGAAAACAATGAAATAGCAAAGACTTCCAAAATAAAACAATCCTTCTACAGAAGAAATATTCAGAGTTTTAAACTTTTGATAAAAATATGCATATATTTCCTTCAGTAAACATAACAAACTCTTTCTGAAGTAGCAGGTTTGTTACATGGATGGAGGAAGATGGCAGTTTTTCATCCATTAATCACAGCAAACTGTAGCCAATTTAAAACGAAGATACAAAAGTTAGCTTTTTAATTACAGTATCATATTTTCTCATGGATACTGATCGCTACCAGTAAGACACAAAGAAAAACTACCCAAGTCATAACAACTGTCAGAAAGGTGTATAACATGGTGTGGTGAAACTTACTTTTGATGATCTCCCAGTGGTCTTTGTCCAATGGATTTTAATAATGACTCTGGTCGAACTGTTAATTTCGGTGATGTCTTGGGGCTAGTATCAGAATCTCCACTTTCTTCATCTCCCATGGCCTTAATATAGCTCCCACTTCTCATTCTTCTGCAGGGGATCTCTTCGTCTTTCCCACCAGTTGGGTATCCTCCCCATTCATCCTGAGGTACCTAATGGAGACCAGAAAACACAGGCGCAAAATGTGCATTATTCTTTTTATATATTTAAATACTTCCTTCAACATCATTTTACAAAGACAAGTCATGAATTTTTTATTCTTCAGAAACAGATCACTTAGAAATTTCTAAGGTCCCCAAATTATTTAGCAATTTAATTCCAACTTGAAAATTGGAAATTTTCAGTTTATTAACGTTGGAACCTAAGAAATAATCAAGTCATGGTTATTGAGCTGAGCTGCAATATCTATTTGTAGACATGCTCTAAATTGCAAGAAGAAGCTTAGCTTAACCTCTTAAAAGATTGCACACAGATTTTCAGCAGATAAAGTTCATTGGGTGTCTCAGACCTAAAACTCATTGGAAGCTGAGCACTTCGGAGTCTTTTACCAACTTGCCTTATATGCAGCTTTGCTTTTCAGGAAGCTGAATTAAGTATTTAAATTAAATTCAGCTGTGATTTTGGCAAAAATGGATAGGATAATGATTTAGGGCAAACTTCTATGAAACAAAGCAAATATGGAAATTTCTCTCTGTTTCTTATTTAGAAACTGCAAAATAGTTCACAGAGGCTGTAACATATCAGGAATGTAGACAGTTAATTATTAATACATTTGGCTGAGGCTACTTTCATGCAGTTGAGGTGGTTTTTCAAATAGCAAGATCGGTAGTCAGATAATCCACAGCTGGTGGATGGGTTATCTCTCTGCACCACAAATTGGCAGAGAATTGAGCAGGAGCAGATTTTCAAATCCAAAGTGAAATCAGCCTTGTTTTAAGACTCATGAATAAAGACAGTGAGCCTGTCCCTGCCAGTATTGCTGAATCTTTGCTTTTTGTTTAATCTTCCGAGGTGCTGAGTCCTCTGGTCCTAATCCAGAAAAACACTTAAGCATTTACTTAACTTAAAGGATATAAGCAACTCTCTGAAATCCATTATAATGACTCATGGTTAAAAAGAAGGATGTGACAGAGTACATCAGTGGACCAGGGCTGATGCACTTGGCAGTGTCAAATCCTTTATCAACATAATGACTTCATATATATTAAACAGTACAATGGCATTATTTACTAATATACTATAAAACTGAATTTCCAGTTAAACTTATATTAAGGAGTTTCTGCAAAGTAGATGTCTAATAAGGACTTTCAAGTCAAACATATTTGAGACGTTCTATAGACAGAGTTCACTGCGGAGCGGAAGCAAATGTTCCCATTGGTTTCAGCAGTCTTGGAAATTGTATTTAAATAACGAACATGATCTGCCTGTCTTCTTTACTGCCCTTTCAGGATACATGAATTAGCCACACACCAGATGAACAGACCTGGTGCTTTGAGTCCCTAAAAAGGGATTAAGGGTGAAATGAAGTTTTAAAAGGGAGTGAACAAGTAAAGATAGAGGTATTAAATTAGAGAAACAAGCTCAGGAGAGAAAAAAGAGAGACTGAAGATGAAGTCAGGTAAGGAGAGATGAAACAGATCACACAGACCAGAAAATGTTAGAGAGAAATACCAGAGAAAAAACCTGTGAGATATATTCTTTTACAAAGTGATAAGACAGAGCATGAATCTAAATGAAATATGGGTTAGATCATGCAAAGAAACAAACTTTTCATATTATTCAGCTTTGGATGGTGACTGGAAAGGCAGCATGAAAAATCTTCCTGAACTTGAAGCCAGTAAATGTGAAATGTCATCCTCATTTCTTTTCTAAGACCTAGTACGTATGAGATTAAAGTTGGAAGAAGGTTTTGAGATTCTAGGAGACATCAAAGTATTCACATGTAGTGATAGCTGTAACAGCCAGACTCCTAAAGTATACGAAATAAACATATTTTCTTAAGCTTTTTTTATCTACAGCTGGAAACACTATTAACTGTAAAAAATCTGAACTAGAGAGCTAGATTAAGAAAAATGAACTGATATCATACAAGCATATTCTCACTTTTAAATCTTCCTTACTACTTGTACGTCAGCATAGCTAAAAAAATTCCAAATGCTGAAAAAACATTTATTGGCATCTACATGGGCCCACTGGAAGTTATACTGTTCAATTTTCTGTGTTAAAGCTGGATTCTTATGTTCAGTCTTAATATGCTTTTTTCAAAAAACCCGTAACTTTTTCATAGAATAATTATTTTGTCTTGAAATTTCTTTCCTTCATTTTAATTCAAAGTTAATTAAATAGAAAGTTTAAAAAGACATTGATCAATAACCTTTTACTTACTCAAATGCAAAAAATTATTAGTTTCTCAACTTTCTTTTGTCTGAAATTCCATGTTCAAATAACTAGATAAGGACTGGATTTAAATGAGTAAACACAGGCTTAATTGTTGATTGAAGTTGCAAAGACAGGAATGACTGATTTTTTACATTAAAGTATCTAAAAAATTGTTTCTTCACTGTGATAAGGAGCTTCCTGAGGACAAACCTTACAGTTATGTGCCTTGCTATTTTTAATTAGATTTCTTTTGCTTAACTCATAAGTCAAATGAATTCACATAAAAGCTAAAAATTGAAGAAGCCCTGCTCCACTTGTACTTGTGATGTACTCATGGTACACACAAACACACCAAGATTCTCTCTCTGAGCAGAGTAACTCATTGACTGCCACAGAAGCATTTAGGATTGAAAAAACATTCACAATTAAAGTATGTATATTTTTTTACCCTTGAGCTATTCAAAGTAACAGGATACAATGAACACAGAGAAAATGTGTCTGGAGTCTGGCAAGCAAGTTTGACAATGGGTTCTCTCAGAAGTTTCATACACAGCCTAGGAAAACAGCTGGAGTCTTTTTGCAGTCTTCAAAAGCCAACAGAAGAGCCCTTGACATTGTTTTTCCTAATGGGTGGAGAATAGAAGAAAAAATTGTGTCCTAGTTCAGCCTGGTTCATCATTTACTTTAGCTGATAGGTTAAATACTTGAAAAAATCTTTCCAAATCCAGGCCAACATAGCTTTAAAGAAAAGTGGAATTATTATACTAGTGCAGGAAAGATTCTTGTTTTGAAATATTATCAAAAATATTTAGCGGCATGTGAGGGTCATTAAATGTATCTTTTCCAAAACGTGAAAAGGGCTTTGCAGCTTGCAGAAATGCTTTCTTACAATAGTTACCAGCCCCTGAAATTCCCATCTGCAGGGCTTGCAGCTGCTAATTGGGAATAATTACCCTAATTATCTACTTGCATATAGTGATGAGTGCTGATATTTATAATGTCTAAAAAGGCCTTCCTCCTGTTCTAGATGTTAACATGAATCCTTGTATATGCAGTTTCCATCCACAGAGGAGTTAGACTACATATTACCATATGAATTTCCTTTTGTAAGAACAACGAGCTGACAAGGTCTGGATCTTTTAATTTAATTTCGTCACCGGCTGCTGATTTGGTTATAACTATTACAGAAAATGATGAGTCTCTTTCATAAATTTCATGCACTGTTGCTGTGAGGAGCACAACCATGTTGAGGGAATTTGGGATCTTTTAATTGTTCCACTACTGATTCAGTGTGATATCTTACATTAGTCACCTAGGGCCAGTTTTATTAAAGAACCTGGTACCTAAAACTGACTACATTTTACGGAGCTGATCCTGGGAGTGAACTCCAGAACCTTAGGTAGGACCCTAAATTACCCATAAAAGGTGTTTAGGAGAGTTAGCTCCTTCAGAGTAGCGTCCAAAAGGAAGCAAAAGGTCCCTTTAGTTAGCAACCAAAATGCAAAGCATGAAGAAAAATCTCAAATGCTTCTCTTTTCTTGGGTTTATTGTAGGTGATTACAAGCAGCAAAAGGCCCTTCTATCATTTCCCATTCACAGCCTAAAACCATCTTCTGAAGAACAAACTCAGATTTTTTTTTTCCAAAAACTGAGCAGCCTTCTCACTTCTTTCCTTCCATGACAAAATGGCTGTGGAAGTGGAAGACGTTACTGCTCACCTTCTAATCAATAACGGTTGGAGTGCTCAGGAAGGAGAAGACAGTGCTGATAAATACTGGCATGCTCTCCTCCTCTTTTTGTAACTCATGGCCTTTTCATGAAACACTCACAGATTGCCTGGGGAGGTCTGGTTAGCCCTTTTCATGTACAAGAAAGCATGTGTTGAAGCCTCGTGATCCAGGCACTTACCTGGAATGAGGGAGCTTAGAGTCCCTGGGCCAAACACTAGCATGAATTTTATGTGAAAGGGTGTTTGGATAAAACTTGTGGAACATCTTAACAAAGAAAGAAGTGCCTTTGCTCCAAACTGCCTTACAGCCTGCTGCTCAGATGCACTTTGGGGAATTGAGAAGATGGTGGTTTGACTTTGTACGGAAGAAACTAAACTCGCATCTTCACAGTGGGTATTCTAGAAATTTTGTTACTATGAAAACAAATGTCCTTGTTTTAGAAGAAAAGTCACTATCCTTGTCTTTTGTTAGAATTCTTTCCTGCTCGGTGTCTTGGTTGTGCTCAGATTAGACCTGTCAGAGGAAAAGGATTTTGGACCCCTGACTGGGCTTCGGCAGTAAGTCTGTCCCCTGATTCTCAGATTGCACAGATTCTGTGTGTAAACAACAGCATGTGTCAGTGAAAACAGGGATCAATTCACCAAACCTCTGGAAAAAACTAGGAATCATGGAATCTCTGGTGTTGGAAGGGACTCTGGAGGTCTCTAGTCCAGGCTTCTGCTGAAAGCACGGTCAGGTACAGCAGGTTGCCCAGGACTGTGTCCCGCTGGGTTTTCAATGTTTCCAAAGGTGGAGACTCCACCACATCTCTAACGTTTGGCCATACTCAGGGGGAAAAAGTTTTTCCTTATATCTAATCAGAGATAGATTCCCACTCAGGATCTAGTGTTAGCAGTGTGAATATCCAAACTTGTATCTAAGAAACACTAATGTCAAAACTGGAAGAACCAATGAAATATTAATTCTTCTGGACTTTGACCACTGTTAATTGAAGGGTTTTTTTCTTTTACTTCAGTTTAGGATTTAGCAAAAGAAGTCAATCT